TCTCTCTCTCTCTCTCTCTCTCTCTCTCTCTTTCATATCAAATGTAAGATATGAGATACATGCAGCTTATTTATATGCCTTTCACATATTTTTCTTAACGACATCAATTTGAGTAATTAGTTTATATAAATCTTTTAAATTCACTTAAATATCTAATTATCATATTTAATAACAACGCAAATCCTAATTTTCCCAATTTTAGCCATGTACACTCCCGGATTTGTATGTTTTTATTTATGAAATCTCAAAACTCCAATTATATTGTTATAAGAAAATAATTCTACTGTACAATGTCATTTATTTGAATCTATCAATTGACATTAGAATAATACAGTAAATTTTATTATAAATAAAATCTTAAATATCTAAAAATTATTAATCAAATTTATTATATTGGAAATGATTTAATTAGTCAAATAACAAATAAAATAATTAATAAATTTATAGTGGTGGAATTGCGGCGTGCGATAAATCGGCAATCAGAATCTTCAGGTTTTTCTGTTTCAACTCCTCATAGGGCAGTTTGTCAATTGCCATGTATAATTTGGGCATTACAGTATTCACAAACTCTTTTATCTATTAAAATCAATGTTATAAAGTTACATTAGTTACATAATTATTTTTGAAAATATCTTAAATGATTTGATAAACATGAGTTTAAATATAATATAAATTACCTTAATGTGGAACTCTGTCCAGACTGGATGGCTAGCATGGGCAATTTCATCATCCAAAGTGGTCACCATAAAACCTACCATAGTTTTAAGTCTACCAAGCAGATTCTCGGACGTGCCCGTAATATTCAATGTATCTTGATTACCCAAACGGATTTTATCCAACCGTTTACTCATATAATTAAAGCCGTGGACTTCGCCCAAGAATTGTGCGGTCACTCGCTCTCTATCAGTCTCGTTGGCCACGGCTTTAAACGTGTCGAACAGCCAGGGAATGGTTCGCAATACAAACTCTTTCAACTCGTGATACAACTCTATGGGTACAGTCAAGCCCTGCTTTTTGTACCGTTTCTCTGCCGCGTCCAATATCTGTCCGATGGGCTCAACCAATGTGTATACTCTAAGTTTGATGGCATCGGTATTGGCCTGTTCTCCGTAGTCAATAGGATTTTCCTCACAAATCACTATTAAAATAATAAATTTTAATTATTTAATTTTATTTAATATAATTATTTTATATTTTACCTTGCACGATAATGAAGAAAATTCCAAACGCAATGGTGAGGGGTGAATTCATTTTTACAAATATAATTTGTATACTTGTATTTATTCAAACTTTAATGTTTTGTTATGAATGAATTCTGTATGAAATACTCGGTTTATATACTTTGATTTTTGTAATATTTCTAATTATAAAATATAATTTATTTGATGTTTATAATAAATGACAAAAACCACGATAAGAAATTTTGCAGTTTAAACTTTGCACACATGTATAAGTTTAAAAAATTATAATCTAATAGGATCTTATTATCCTAGTTTAATAATTATATAATTTGTTTTGCAGTATACTTTATATTGATAATATTGTTAAAAACAATAAGCGCTTGTTATAAAAAATTAGTAAATCTGTAAACTATTAATAATTAATTAGATGTCAATATGATTATTTTAAACATAACATGACTTTTTCCGATATGAGTATTGCCAAATGTGTGTTCTAATTTAACAACACAAACTCGAAGTTAAATATAAAAAATTATACTCTTATTTTTGGACAATAAACTATATTTCATACAATTTATAATAAATACTATAATTAGTTGTAAATAAATTTTGTAATCAGTAAAATAAATTATTAGTTAATTGAATTAAATCTAAAATAAGATAATAAAACTACTTTATTTATTCTGCTAATTCAAAACTTTATCATTAATCTTAATTGGCAACACTACCTACTGCACTATGCGCAATGATGTTACCAAAACAATTTTTAAAGTAATTAATTACAAAGTGTACCGAATTGTTCAATGAAACATTTTTCACAACATAATATTTATTTTTAAATATATAAAATAATTAATAAAATTACGCTAACATTTAAGAAGTGCTGGTTAATTAATGTGTAAGTTTTGATTGACTATAGTATAAATGTACCAAATTGTTTAATGAAACATTTTTTACACTCCATAATATTTATTTTTAAATATATAAAATAATTAATTAATTTATGCTAACATTTGAAAAGTAATGGTTAATTAATGTGTACGTTTTGATTGTCTATAGTATAAATATCAGTGAGTGTTTAACAATAAAATCAGTTAACAATAATATAATATTGTAATCATAACTTTTAGCTATCAAATAAGACAAAGACGTACAACAATGTTTGCCATAAAAATGCAATTATTATTTGTTGGCATTGTATTGGCTTTCGCTTACACTACCGGTAAATATTTTTATTTAACTTGTATTAACTCTCTCTCTCTCTCTCTCTCTCTCTCTCTCTCTCTTAATTTTAATATAAACTAATCCTAAATATTTAGGCCAAGAACTACCAAACCTGGACTTTCCGCATACATTTAATGAAGCTGAAAGTGAGAAAGAGATGTTAGCATTTGCCTACTCTTTGGGCGATAGAGTAAAGGGTTATTTAGGGGCTGAACAACAACGAGACAACTCAAAAGGTTTAACAGTCGTCGCCCAGTTCTACCAAGATTCTATGGATGCACTTAGTAAAATTGTACCATGGTTATTCGGCGAATTGGACAAGCTTGATAATCCTGTAATAGCGCACACGTTGAATACAATTGTGATTGGTCAGTTTTATGACTTTACCACTATGACCGAACGTTTGTCTGAACTGCGAGCCGTTCAGCCCCTGTCAGTCACCGGCAATGAGCACAACCTTATGAACCGATTGAAGGCATTGGAGAGCCGAGTGTTGGCCGCCGTCGAGGCCGCAAAAAATAAAGGACTTAGAATTGTTCGCAATTTTCCCGTTATGAACGCATATTACGATAAGGTAAGTTAATTTATAAACTACATTAAAAATTATTTTTATTATTATTTAAATTAATTACTATGATTATTTTTAGATCAATGCCTTTTTAAGCGCTGAGTTTCCCAAATTGAATGAAGCAATCGGTAACTTACCCTCAGCTGCACTCAGACAGCAAACCATTCAGCAATTGATTATCGATCTGACACACTTGACCCAAATACCATTTATGCTTTAATTATCAATTATTATAATATTGGATCATAATGTTTTAATTAGTCAATGTAATAAGAAATTTATATTATTAATCAAATGAAACAAATTAAATTATATAATCTAAAATTGCATATAATTTATTTTATTTAAAAACCTATCTTAAGAGCAATACAAAGTATTACAAAATATAATTATAACTTTAGTAATAAAACCATAAACAGTAAATTGTATTTTAATACATTAACTTGATTATATAATTTTAAAGAATTATCATAAGTAACGACCATTTCATAATTTATGAATCATAAAACAGAAGTGTTGAATTATTTAGCAAGTAGTAAAGTGAGCAGGATCGTCTAAACTTTTAGGTCCTCTACGACAGGTGATAAACTTTGTATGATTGCGACCCAATCGGGTGCTTAGCAACCAATAATTATCGCACGATTCGCAATCAAGTGATGCTCTGATTGTTGTAAAATTATTGGCACTCATAATGGGATAGAATATAGGTTCGGGCAAAACGGACATTAGCTCATTATCTAGGTCCAAATCTATGCCCACATTTATACCCAATGGCACCGGAAACCAGTTGACACTCTTAAAGGACTGGCGAGTGAGTCGGTTGCGATCTAGCATAATGACCAAGTTGGATTTTAGTGTTGAGCCTAAAAAATCAAACGCCCGGTCGCCTACGCTATTGATCCTGTTATCACGTAAATTCAGTACCCATAATCTGGGTAAATCTTTAAACGCCCGTTCCTCAATAATCTCTACCTGACCTCTGCCAATCGTCAAGAGATTCAAATTGAGCAGGGACCTAAACGCGTTGCTCGGTATGACGTATACGCTTGTGTTGAGCATAATTATATGTTCCACGCGTTGCAACGTGTTTAACGCCAGGAACAGGTCATTACGCGGGCCCTCATGTATGGGTGTGTTCTCAATGCGGATCTCCTCGATGTCCAGTTCAGTGCCAATGAATGTGTTTGGATGTATGTATTTCAAGGTATAAGCTTTGTCTATAAATATGCGTTTAAAACGTATGCCAGCGAATAGTTTTGGCCGTAACTGTACTACTGATGAACTGTTGATGTACAGCGTGTCGATTATTGTATCATGGTAGTCTTGGTCTTTAAGTTTATAAGCAAAGTTCTCAAATACGTCGCTTAATGTTTGATCAGTTAAATTGCTTGAATCGCATATGATGATGCTCTCGGTATTGCAGTAGCATGGTGATATATCGATTTTACCAATACATTCATTCTGGTTCAAACCAAATACAGAGCCGACTGCTATAAATAAAAACATTATAAAATCATTGTGGTTCATATTGATTTCATATAAAGCAATATATATAATTTATATTATGTTACATAATTTATGTATTACTTACCAAACAAAAAGATGTAAAATTTAAGCATTTTGACTTTTTAACAAATGATGCTTAAATATAAACTAATGTTTAGCATTCAATTGGGAATAATTGAAAACTGTATTGTGAATGTGAATTGGAAATGAAAATAATTGGTGTTTAAATAGAAATTGATTAATGATTTACCACCTTCAATTATAACATTCAATTTTACGCATGCTGTCAATTGATCCTTTATAATAATAGTTAATCCCAACAGTTATAGTAAAGTAAAACAATTGATATAATATATATTTATATAAACTCTTATACTGTTATCCCATTTAGTAAATAAATCAACTAATCCTTTATTTGATAATAATGTCAATCAAAAAGTATTAATATTTATGAACTTATATTAAGTGTCTATGTGAGAACAAATCACGCAATTATTAAATAACAATATTATTTAACTAAGGGCAAAATTGCATCGTTGTTTAATAATTAAATTTTGCAGTAATTAACCGTTAATCCTAATAAACTTTAACGCTGATTATATTAGTAATGAATTTCCAATTAGCAATGAATTTTACGTAGATTATACTTAATTCATTTTGATTGATTTTTAAATAGTTGATAAAATTATTATAAAATATTATATTAAAGATTATAACTAATTTATCTGTTATTATTGTAATTCTTATATTTTAGGGAATGTAAACTAAAGCTATAGTATAGCTGTCATCAGACAGTAAAATGATTTAAACTTAATGTTTGCAATTTCTTAGAATAGCAGTTAATAAATGACATTATACAATTTCAGGTATTCAATGGCCAGAAATTTTTAATATACAACTTAGAATAATAATTTAAATGCAAAATTATACTTTATTTAATAAAATTAGAAAAATAATCATTGTTTCATTATAATATTTAATAAATTGACTAATTAATACATTATGGTAGGTTTTTTAATCTATTTATAATTAAAGCATAAAAGGCATTTCGGCAAAGTGTGTCAAATCGATGATCAGTTGTTGAATGGTTTGTTGTCTGAGTGCAGCTGAGGGTAAATTACCGATCGCTTCATTCAATTTGGGGAACTCAGCGCTAAAAAAAGCATTGGTCTAAAAATATACATGGTTAGTAAATAATGGTCAATTTATTTACTTATCAAATAACGTTTGAAAACTAACCTTATCGTAATAACCCTTCATAACTGGATCAGTGCGTAAACCTCTCGGACCTCTGGCTTGTGCTGACTCAACGGCGGCCAACACTCGACTCTCCAATGCCTTCAATCGGTTGATAAGGTTGTGCTCATTGCCGGTGACCGACAGGGGCTTAACGGCCCGGAGTTCAGACAAACGCTCGATCATGATGGTAAGATCATAAAATTGGCCCATCACAGTTGAGGTATAAACAAGCTGCAATATAGGCTCTTGAGTGTTTTGCAACTCGCCAAACAACCATCGTGCAATAGGTGTGAATGCGTCGATACAATCTTGGTAGAATTGGGAGACAACTGTCAACCCCTTATTGTTATCCTTTTGTTGTTCAGTCCGTATATATTCGATGGCTTTATCGCCCAAACTGTTGGCATAACTCGATATTTCATTCAATTGAATGCCTTCTCCCACGACGTGAGGGAAGTCCAGTGTTTGGGCAGCGCTTCCAAGTGCTGTACAACGAGTTTGAATTACGATTACAATCAAATCGATGATCAGTTGTTGAATGGTTTGTTGTCTGAGTGCAGCTGAGGGTAAATTACCGATCGCTTCATTCAATTTGGGGAACTCAGCGCT